TTTTTGAGTCAGAGTCTCACTCTGTTGCCCAGGCTAGAGTGAGTGCCATGGCGTCAGCCTAGCTCACAGCAACCTCACACTCCTGAGCTCAAGCGATCCTCCTGCCTCAGCCTCCCCAGTAGCTAGGACTACAGGTATGCGCCACCATGCCCGGCTAATTTTTTCTGTATATACTTTTAGTTGGCCAATTAATCTCTTTCTATTTATAGTAGAGACGGGGTCTCGAGCTTGCTCAGGCTGGTTTTGAACTCCTGACCTTGAGCAATCTGCCCGCCATGGCCTCCCAGGTACTAGGATTACAGACGTGAGTCACAGCGCCCAGCCTCTCAGGCTTCTTTTATAAGGGCACTAATCCCATTTATGAGGGCATAGTCCTCACAACCTAATCACCTCTCAAAGGCCCTACCTCCTAATACTATCATCACCTTACGGGTCAGACTTTCAATGTATGACCTTGGCCAGAGGCAGGGCACAAGCATTGAGGCCATAGCTGATGTTAGCATCATTTCATTAGCCTTCTGTGCATCTTTTGGTGAGGGGTTCTGGGTTTTCCTGTCGTTTTTAGTTCTAGGAATTCTTTGTATATTCTCAATGACCGTCCTTTATCAGATACATCTTATGTAGATGTAATATTTTTTCCCAATCAGTGCCTTGTCTTTTTGTTTTCCGAATAGAGCCCCAGAGCAGAAATTTTTAAATGTATCGAAATGCAGTATATAATTGCTTTTTCCACGAATCGTGGCTTTGGTGTTGCATCTAGAAAGTCATGACTCTACCAAAGTCCTTCTAGATTTTATCCTCTGTTATTTTCTAAGAACTTTATAGTTTTGTGTTTCACTTTAGGCCTGTGATACATTTTATGTTAGTTTTCTGTGAGGAGTCTGTGACCAGATTCATTTTGGGTGTGTGGATGCCTGGTAGCTGCTCCGGCAGCGTTTGTTGACAAGACTGTCTTTTCTCTGTGGCGTTCGTTGCCTTTGCGGCTTTGACAAGGATCGGCCGGCTGTGTTTATACGGGTAAACTCTTGTTCAGAGTCTTACGATCAAAGGTGCCAAACTCTTCTTTCAAAAGCTAAAACACTTTCTTGGCCAGGTGCTATGGCTCACGCCTATAATCCTAGCACTCTGGGAGGCCCAGGCGGGAGGATCGCTCAAGGTCAGGAGCTCAAGACCAGCCTGAGCAAGAGCGAGACCCCGTCTCTACTGAAAATAGAAAGAAATTAATTGGACAACTAAAATTATATAGAAAAAATTAGCCAGGCATGGTGGCGCATGCCTGTAGTCCCAGCTACTCGGGAGGCTGAGGCAGGAGGATCGCTTGAGCCCAGGAGTTTGAGGTTGCTGTGAGTGAGGCTGACACCACGGCACTCTAGCCCGGGCAAGAGAGTGAGACTCTGTCTCAAAACAAAACAAAACAAAACAACACAAAACTTTTTTGTTCTTTTGCTGTCCTGAGAACCCTAAGGCCATAACGTTTAGTTTCCCGAATACTCTACTCATTTTTTATTTGCCTTCTCGTATTAGCCGACTCGGCTGCCATAACCAGGTCCCCTAGACCTGGTGGCTTCAACAACAGAAATTTACTTTCTCACAGATGTGGAGGCTGCAGTCTGAGGTGAGGGTGCCGCAGGGGCAGGTTCTCCCGGCTTGACGACGACCAAGCGCCCTCTCGCTGTGCCCTCACGTGGCAGCCAGGGAGGGGTGTAGGGGGACGTCTCATTCTCCATCTCTCCTTCTGGCCACCGTCCTGCGGATCAGAGCCCCACTCCATGAGCTCCGTACCTCCTGCAGACCTTGGCTTTAGGGTCGTATTGAGAGTTAGACCTTCGACATAGGAATTTTGGAAGAACGTAATTCAGTGTGCAGCACTTCTCTTTGCATTTTAAAGAATTTAAAAGGAAGTTGCTTTTGTTAATATAATAATACGAGAATGTAGGTGGACAGATTTCGAAATCATTTGCCTAGATTCCTTGGGCCACTCAGACTTTGGGCTGAACTTCCCTCTCTGCATCTAATCGCACCTGTACCGTCTCTGCCAGCATGTCTAGGGTCATCTCTCGTGGACCAGTGTGGTCTGGGCTCCTGGTCAGCGGCTGGCCTGGGCTGGGCAGTGAGGGCAGGAGGAAGACCCCACGTGTCTCTGGAGTTAGATGGCAGCAAAGGTCCTCCCATCAGCGGCTCACAAATTTTTGCTGCACATTAAAATTGTCTTGGGAGCTTTGAAAGTCCCAATGGCATGTCACACCGTATGGCAGACACAGCTAAGGTGACCCCAGTGAGTCACACCGTCCCTGTGATTGGGCCAGAAAGGTAGCTTGCTTCTCATTGGTAGAAGAGGCCAGGGTGACAGATATCACCCTTCGATGATGTCGTTATATACACACAGTGTTGCATATATTACATGGACTTTATGTACCCTGTTATAATTATATTTTACATACATGTATATACACTGTTATGTAGCTTTATACAAATATACATCATACACACACACACCTGTACACATCCATGCTCTCTCATGCTCTCTCCTGCTGGCCTGGAAGCAGGAAACAGCCATCT